TTGCACCCAGGTGTGATGCAGGCAACAAAGTCCGGCTGCTCTAACACCGCACAGGCCAGGCAGCGTTTCTGCTGGATGCCCAAGCACCGGGCCAGCCGGGCAAGGATGCGGAACCTGTGGGCAAGGGAATGCCCCATGGGGGCAATGCCACCCCCAGGGGTTGGCATTGCTCCATTAACGAGGGGCTTGGGATGTCTCCATGTCATCCCACCATACCTGGAGGTGAGGATGAGGAAGAGGTTGCTCCGCCCAGCGTCGGCCGTGTGCTGGGTAACAGCTTGGCGCAGGGCACGTGCCAGCCCTACCCGCCGCGCCAGGATGGCACTGTGGAGGTAGGCCACGCGCTCCTGGCAGAGTAGGTATGGGGGCGTGAGGGCTAAGGCGGTTGCCATGGGAGTGTGGGGGAGTGTGGGGGGGCTTTTTACCCGCTCACGGGATGGGTAGTAAGTGGCACACACCAGCCGGCGCAGGCGTGCCACGTGGGTGCCAAAAACGGCGATGAAGATGCAGGTGCCATACAGGAGTCCTGGTGGGAATAGGGCAAGTCACGTGGGTGATCCTGCCCTGGAATCCTCACCCAGCCAGCCAGAGCACCCTGAGGGTGCAGCCCACCCCCGTCCCCGGTCACCCATGTTGATGTAGGTGCCATAGTCAGGCTCCGTGGGCTGGAGGCGGCAGCGCTGAGAGAGCACCGAGACATTGCCGCGCTGGAGCGCATCGAAGGCAGAGACCACATCCCGGAAGATCTCGCTGGTGTAACCCTTCCCGTTGACGTGGATGCCCAACACCACCGGTGCTGTGGGGGCCCCAAAGGCTCAGTCTGGGGACACATATTGCCCCAAAACCCCCAGAAGGAACAACACCCGAGGGTGCAGCTCTGGCATGGTCAGTGCTGCTCTATCATGGTGGGTGTTGCTCACCCCTGGCGACGATCTCCCCTTGCAAGTGGTGCTGGACCAGGTCGAGCAGCCAGAAGAGGCTATAGTCAGCCAGGATGATGCTGACCCCCAGCACCACGTGGCGCAGGACCCCCACCAGTGCCAGCCCATACCGGCGCTGCTCCTGCCGTGACAGCCACATCCCACCTGGATGGGGACAGGGACAGTAGTGATGCCATGCCAAGACCCTTCAGTTCCCCTCCTCAGTAGTGGGGGCTGACCTGGCAGGATGTAGCGGCCACTCTCCCAGACTGAGAGGGGCAGGACCGTGGGTTTGCCCTGCTCTGCACACCGCATGTCCAGCTCCACAAAGCTCTGCGTGATGTAGACATTGTCGAAGGTCTCATCTCGCAGGTACCGGCGACGGTACCGCACAGCCCTGGGGACACAGGACCACAGAATGCTTCTGGTTGGAAAAGACCTTTAAGATCATCAAGTCCAACCATAATCCAACTCTACCAAGTTCAGTGCTAACCCATGTCCCTCAGCATGACATCTACATGGCTTTGAAGCACCTCCAGGGATGGGGATTCACCTGACTTCCTGGGCGGCCTGTGTGAGGGTTTAATTACCCTTTTGGTGAAGAAGTTTCTCTTAATATCTGAGCTAAGCCTGTCCTGGCACAACCTGAGGCCATTCTCTCTTGTCCTGTCACTTGTCCCTTGGGAGCAGAGCCCGACCCCCCTGGCTCCAACCTCCTCTCAGGCAGTTGCAGAGCCAGCAGGTCTCCCCTCAGCTTCCTGGTCTCCAGGCTGGACACACCCAGCTCCCTCAGCTGCTCCTGCTCACACTTGTGCTCCAGCCCCTTCCCCTGCACTGTTGCCCTTCTCTGGACACACTCCAGCCCCTCCATGTCCTTCTTGTCCTGAGGGGCCCAGAACTGACTCCAGGATTTGAGGTGTGGTTTCACCAGTGCCCAGCACAGGGGGAGATACAGGAAAGGGGATGCTGGGCACCAGGTCCCCATCCCCATGGGGACAGAGCGGGCCCTCACCCCACTCACTGGAAGTACATGTAGACAATGGCTAAGAAGGAAAAGTGTGTGAAGAGTGACAAGATGTTGTGGGCAGGCTCCAGCTGCGTTTGCACGCCCTCCATGATGTCCATGGCCACCTCACTCAGGCTCTTGCTGGCATTGACGCTGATGTCAAAGCGGTGCACAGCCGTGATGTTGAACTCAAACTCCTGGCGGACACGGTCCAGAGCATTCTTGAGGGCTGCAGGGGTGACAAGGGGGTAGTGAGAGGAGGAGGGGGAGAAGTTTTAAGCTGGAAGAGGGGAGATTTACGTATTAGGAGGAAATTCTTGGCTGTGAGGGTGGTGAGACCCTGGCCCAGGTTGCCCAGAGAAGCTGTGGCTGCCGCATCCCTGGCAGTGTTGAAGGGCAGGTTGGATGGGGCTTGGAGCAACTTGGGCTGGTGGGAGGTGTCCCTCCCTACCCATGGCAGGGGGTGGGACTGGATAAGCTTTAGATCCCTTCCAACCAAACCATTCCATGATTCCATGACAAGGGGGTGCTGGTGGTGGGGCTGAGAGCCAGAAGGGGGCAGAGGGGGAGCTGGGAGGGACCCCTGACCCCCCCATGGCACTAAGGTACTCACGGTCTGCAATGGTTCTCTTCAGGAAGGACTGGATGTAGTTCGGGATGAGGCAGAACACGAAGACAACTGCAGAGAGGTGGGGGGTCACTGCCATGGCGGGACCCTTCTGGTGGGCAGAGGTCCTCGCCACCACGTGTCCCCCCACCCGAAGGAGCCAGAACTCCCACGCACTGTTGGCCAGGCCACAGAGGAACCGGAAGGCAGGGACGATGTAGCAGAGGAAGAAGAGGAGGGGGATGGTCCTCATGCAGTTATCGTAGGCATTGTCGAAGAGGCGCACACAGCGGCGGTATGGTGACCCCAGCTCCTCATTGCACAGGTTACCCACGTTCACCAGCCACTTCCAGACGTTGTGCAGGGCTCGGGCTGCAGGTGGGGAGGAGGTGTTGGAGGCCACAAGGGTCCAAAAGCAGTACTGGAGGGTGAGAGGGGGGGCTGGAGCATCCTGTGACCCCCTGCTCACCCACGTGGCCAACGGAGTCCATGATGGCGCGGAAGAACTTGCGGACGTGGTCGCCCACCACTTTGGCTTTCTGGGAGATCTCCTTGATTTTGTTCAGCATTTCTGCGGAGAGACGGGACCCCTGAGCATATCCCAGGGCTGAGGGAGATCTCCCTGTCTCACACCCCTCCACAGACCTCCCACTCACTTATCAGTGGCTCCCCCGCCCCGCGGCGTCTTC